TTTATTGCTGAAGTGTGTTGAAATGTCTTCTTCTGCATTCTACTGTACGGACGTAAATTTACTTTCCCTTCAGCCTAAGGCTTATTCATTTCACTTTTGGTGTGAAAAGGCTTTTATATTTGCCAAAAATATAACTTTTTTTATTTTAAAAACAAACAAGCAAGCCCTGTCCAGATTTAAAAAGTAACGCAAAAGTAACGTAACCCATTACTTTCCATAAAAAGTAACTAAGTAACGTAATTAGTTAGTTTTTATGGAGTGACGCAATATTGTAATGCATTACTTTCAAAAGTAACTTTCCCCAACACTGGTCATCGGATGCCACATGCACTTTTACAAGCTGTTTGAACTGAAATGTGTGTTGGCAGTGTGTGTTCACAACCACCCTATAATGATAAAGATACACCCAGTGTTTTTTTTATTTTTTATTTTATGCATGTATGTATTATTTTAATTTTTTTTACAAGGAATTATTTTCTTATCTCTTACTTTGAATTTGCTATAAGAAATCAAATACACTGCTGGAGAATAATCAATCATTTGTAATCTATAATTTTTTCCTAATGGCAATTTTATGATTGTTTTATATACTACAAAATCAATTTTCTGCACAGAATAAGGTAGAAAATATACTTTATAGATTCTGTACTGTAATAAATGAAATGTCAATTAGCACTGCATCATTCATAAATGTTATTTATTTATTGTGTTTATTGTCTTAACGTTTCATCAGTTCATTCTGCTTTTTATTCAGATTAGCTGTAGATATAGCCTCGCAAGTCTTCTATGAGTGCGAGATCACTTCTATTTCAGTACACTACTTTCATGCATCTGATTATCAGGTAAACCTCGCGCTCTTATTTCAACGTTGTTATTAATGCTGTGGTTATTTTAACAGTTTCCTTCGTACATTCGGTTGAACGACATTGTTAAAACACATTTATAATTCAATGGAACTGTGCGTATGCTTTAGACACTTAGCCTACATTTTTGCTCCGTCCATGCAATAAATACACAGCCTTCGACTGCTCAGGTAATGTCGTCGGTATGACCGAGAGCCATTGAAAAACTACAGAAAAGTAAAACTACTTCACTTTAGCATTACTGGCCACGAGTACTAAGGAGAGATCACACATCAGCTGCTCAAAAAAGACGAACGGAGCGCGATCGCAATCCTGTGAAAGTCACAGGCGTTAAATACTGGAGCGTGTGAAGGAGAGCTGCGAGGCACGAACACTGTTCAAGGTCTCCATTAATTTGTGCTTGTAGTAATTTCATGTGTATATATTTTGAAAGCATTTAATCGCTATAGAAATCGCGATTCATTCGATTCTTAGCGTTTTAATTCTATTACTGTCTGAAATCGACGATTCAAAAATCCATGTTTCAAGATCAATGCATATGCATCATCAGGGTTTGTAATCGATGCATCGAGAAAACGACTGAATCGTTACACCCCTACTACTAAGCGATTGAGGTGTTTTGTTGTTGGGTGTAATAATGAACATAGCAGTTGTCATTTACTTCCGACATCTGACCCACTGAAGACGCAGTGGATTACTTTTGTTTTTGAAGGGAATGCACCACCCGATCTACCTACGTAAATGCGTCTATCTTAGCGCGAATCATTCGTGATCCAGCTTCACGTCCAGAAGTGAGTGTAAGGTTTTTTTAATGAATCTTTACAAATCGCCTTTTCTAATGACGTGCTAGTTAGCAATTTTCACGATGAATGCGGCTAAAGTTTACCGTCTCTCAGAGAGCGGCTCGGGAGAGAGGGGCGGAGCTCATTTGCATTTAAAGCGGCATGCAAGAAAACAGCTTGCTCTGAAAAGAGCTGTTTTTGACAGGGTAAAAATTGGGTTTTTACACTACCATTGAGAAATTTTAACCAAACTATGTTACAGACTTTTCATTAAGACCCTAAAGAATCATATCAACTTGTGGAAAATGGGCATCCGATGACCCCTTTAATATTAAGCATAAAATGTTTTAATATCACTATTGAAAAGCAAGATATTTAAAGTGTACCTGAAGTATAGTTGAAATAGTTCAACTTTACCGCAGTTAAATATACTTCAGTATATCTTTAATTGGACTTCAGCACTACGTCCGCACAATTAAAGTGCATTAAGTACAAAAGTTGTTCCAATCAAGCAGGCTTTAAGTATACCAGTTTAGTATACTAAAAGTACAATTGCTGGGTATTTTGATTAAGTACATAAATATGTAAAGGTATTTGTAGTATACTATATATATGAAATAAATGTATTTCAAATACATTTTAGTATATTTCTTTTTCACTAGGGTCAGCCTCAGATATTCAATATTTGTATTCAGTATAATATTATTATTATTATTATTATTATTATTATTAAAGTTTAACCAGCATTTCAACCAAACCACAATTGTTACTTAATGCAAGTAGTAATGTATAGCAAAAATTCACAATGTAGTTAAAATATTCAAACCATATTTTCACCAAATGAACACAAGAAGCAAGTCCCTAAAGTTACATTTAGAGACACCATTACAACATAAACCTAATAGCCAAATTAAAAGCACATTAAAATTGTTCTATTTGTGATTTGCTTACTTTTGTGTTGCCAGAAAAATTAAATAGTATATTATACATATATATTGTGATATATTGCCCAGCTCTACTGTTGTTGTATTTGTGTAAATGTTTGCTGTTGTTGAATTCTTGTTAGTTTTCTCACGAGATAGTAATGGTTCGATGTAAACCTTGAAAATGTTTCTCTAGAGCTTTTATATGCTCATAAAGTAGTCCAAGGAAACCGTATATCCGTGGATACTTACCCTTGAAATGCTCATTTAGTGCACCCATCAGGGCCTCACTGCTATGAAGTTCAGCTTAATTGGTTGCTTAAGACATCCTTATGTATTGTTTTCACTGTAATGTATTCTGGGTTTGGTAATGGTGTTTGAAATGCAAATGAACGTTAATTTGTGATGTGTTTGAGTCGGCTGGTTTTGGTTACTGAAGGAAATGGCAGAAGCGGAGTCTAAATGAAGGGTTTCTACTTGTGCATGTTTGTGTTTCTGTAAGCTCTATTAAACGTTCATACTGTTTTCATATATTGAAACATCTGAACATCTCTGCCAGAAATGCAGAAAAATAAGCTTGATAAGATTTGTGCCTGTACTCTGTTCAGAAGTAGCACATTCTGATCACTTGCTTGGTATTTCTCATCTGTACTTCAGAAACCACAGTACATCATGAGTGTATGTTATCTAACAGGGTTTGCCACTGTACGCAAACAGTTTTAATGGTTTATGATTATTTGTTCTCTCTTTGAATAATTGAGCTTACTTAATCTTCTCGACGATAGCTCATTTGTAGTATTTTTACTAAATGGAAAAATTCTCATGCGATTCTGTCCATAGGTTCGAGAGAGGGATCTGCCCATGGTCATGCACACGCTGTCTTCAGAATTCACTCTCCTGAGGGTTGTCAATGGAGAAACAGTTGCTGCCAACAGTACCGGGGTCACCAATGGTTTTGTCAAGCCTAAACTGGGTAATCATCTGTCGTTATTCTGAGGGTGTGTCGACACAAGGCATTTTGTGCATTTGCAGTAACAAGTGATGTTGCTGAGACTTGAAGGGATAGTTCAACCAAAAATGACAATTCTGTCAATAATTACTCATCCTCATGTCGTTCCAAACCCACAAGTCCTTCATTCATCTTCAGAAAACAAATTAAGATATTTTTGATGAAATCCGAGAGCTTTCTGACCCTCCATAGACAGCAACATTGAACCTCTGATGTTACATGGATGATTCTAACCATGTCCTTACTACCTTTCTAGGCCTTGAATGTATCAGTTGCATTGCTGTCTATGCAGGGTCAGAAAGCTCTCGGATTTCATCAAAAATATCGTAATCTGTGTTCCGAAGATGAACCAAGGTCTTAACGGGTTTAGAACGATATGATGGTGAGTGATTAATGACAGAATTTTTATTTTTGGGTTAACTATCCCTTTAAACTGGTAAATCAAATGATCATTTTAAACTCCTCATATCCTCCGCATTTTTAACGTAAGCATAGCACGACCAATTTCCAGTGTCAGCCGTTTCCAGTTATTGTACCTAGAATCTGTTTTGATTCTATATATCATAAACTAGTGTTTATCATATTATTTATTATCATAATCATAAACATGCTGGTTTGTAGCACAGGTAGTTTTACCATTTACTGAACTTTATTCTTCTAGTTATTTACCAGTAGTGACTAATGAATTGGAAATCATGCACATTCAAAGAAAATAGCTCACCTACTCATTGCAAAATGCAAAATGATGCTAAGACTTGAACTTAGATTTATCACACTGAGCAATAAGATCTGAAACACCTGTTAAAAGTGTCTGTGGTGTGGTTAGGCATCAGCCTCTGCCTGTCACATTTGAGTCAATTATTGGTGTGCCCTTTGAACATACTGGGTAGACATAGACTTTTTAAATATTTTTCTGTGCTCACTGGTATGTTCTGTGTTTAAAGTCAACATGAAACGTCTCGGTTACGTATGGTAACCCTCGTTCCCTGAGGGAGGGAACGGAGACGTCACGTCGGATGACCGACGAATTGGGATCTCGCTTAGAGAGACCAATCTACTTCGAGTGTAAACTAAGCAAGCCAATGCACATTGGCATGCGATTATTGCATCCAGCTGCCGCTGATCACAGCGTGAGTATAAGTAGGCAGCAGATGCAGCGCATATTCAGGTTTTCGCTGAGGAGCCGAGCCGGTGACCCGGCCGCTCAGCGGTGGTACAGCTGAAGACCTGTTCTAGGGGCAGTCCTGCCCGGAGAAACGCAAAGTCTGACCACGGGCCCGCTACTCCGAGATGATCATCTTCCCGCAATGAGAAGATGGCTCATCCACAAACGCCACCTCAGCGTCCTACATGCCCAGGCACGTGAGGCAGCGATCGTGACCATCACCCAGCGCCAGGTAACGACCGCATCCAGAAACGCCCGGGTGATACGTTGTCTATAGCAAGACCCACATCATCCGACGTGACGTCGAGAGTGACTGACTGAAAGGGAACCAATTTGACACTTTTATAATACTGTTCCTGTTATTATAAGTTAACTACAAACCCCCATTCAGATCTGGCTTTCTAGGATTGAAAGTGGCCACTTTTTATGATCCAGTCAATTCTTGATGCATAAATCTATTTTCAAATTTTGTTCCCTTCTCTCAGAAATATTACATTGCAGTAGTAAATCTGGTTGTGAATGGCATGCCATGTTGACTTTAAATAGCATCTCCATCAACACTAATGCACCTTTGGTATATACCAGAGACAAAATGGATTTCATGGTAAAACATCAGTGTAGAACAGCGCTAAGCTCTTACATGGAAATATTACATAAAAAATCGCTGATCATGCCCTGTTCACAACATTAATTCTATCGCATTTTCAGTGAAAATGGATTCCTGCGAGTCAATAAATCCATATATATATCTTTCCTTCATGAAACATCCTGACACACCAGCGATGTTTGTGTTCAGTTTGTTAGCATTATCAACTCTCTTTTTCTTTTCCTTAGTCCCTCGGCCGATCATTCATCCTCTCTCCAGCCCCAGTAACATGTTCTGCGTTACCAGCCTGGACCCCGACACGCTGCCCTCGGTGGCCACGCTGCTCATGGACGTCATGTTCTACTCGGGCGGGTAAGGGCCTCTCCTCCTGGCTTACATATGGCAGTAACCGAGAGCCATCTGCCAGATCTATTAGAGAATGATGATAATACACACAGGTCGCGCTGTAGGGAGTGCATTATGCAACGACGGGAGAAAAGACTGGAAACAAAATGAGCAGTGTGTATTTGTACTATTTTGCTCTTCCTTATAGTGGCTGAACTTGTTTACTACTCAGACAGTGGCATCAGGCCAACAGTTAGAGGGAAAGATCAGATCAGAGTTGCCCTTTATCATACTCCTCCCCCTCCCATTTTCACTATTCCTTGTGAAAGCATCAGCCGAGTTGAGCTCTAATGAAGCTTGTGTAATAACAAGAATCCCTGCTGCGCTTCATTACAGAGCGAAAGAGACCGGGGGGCAGAGCGAGGATTCTGGACACATCCGCTTTTTCTCCTTCTCGCTGATCGAGGGCTACATCTCTCTAGTTATGGATGAGCAAACCACCCGGAGGTTAGACCACCCAGCCTTGCATCTAACTCTCTATTAAAATCAACATGAAAACACAATTGACCCTATTTACTTTCTCAATACACACCCCTGGTCTTGTGCATGAATCAGCAGTGCATGCTATTACAAAGGAGAAAGGGTTTGTTTTTGTATAAATATACTCTACTATTATTTTCCAACCTATTTCTTCCAGCCACCTGTAACACTTGCATTAAACACCCATTTTTCAAAATAATTCCCAATTCATAAAATCTTTTTTCATTGTTCACATGGAAATATCACATTAAAGGGATAGTTCACCCAAAAATGAAAATTCTCATTATTTACACACCCTCATGTCATTACAAATTGATCAATGTTATTTTATTGAAATAAATGCCAAAATTAAATCTGTATTAAAAGTGACCATATAAAGTGATCGTGTCTCTTCAGAATATTGAATCAAACTGATCAATTCATATGGATTACGTTTACTATCTCTACAAACGTTTTGAATCATTAAAAATATCTTCATTTGTGTTTCAAAGATCAATTAAAGACTTATGGGTTTTGGAACGACATGAGGGTGAGTAATCGATGACCATTTAAATTTTTAGGAAAACTGTCCCTTTAACAGAAGTAAAATGGCTTGAAATGTAATTTCATGTTGATTTTAAGGAACTGAAACATTCATTTTGTATATACACTGCAATATTGGACTTGCATGGGTTGTAAAGTGGATTTCTTTGTCTTTTGACTCTCGCGCTTAAACTGTCTGCATTGGTTTCATCAGAATTTTACAACTATTTAAAAATACCAATCTTTTAGCTTGAATCCTGTTGAATCACCCTGTCTTTGTGTGTGTGTGTGGCTAAAATAGAACTTGCCCGATGAAAAGATTTCTGATTACATGTACACTATCATTGTTTTGTCATCACTGCATGTGGTTTACATGCTGCTCTTTTCTTGTCAGGTTTCCAAACAATGTCCTCTTCACCAGCGCTTCAGGAGAGCTTTGGAAAATGGTCCGCATCGGAGGACAACCCTTAGGGTTTGGTGAGTTCAGGCTAAAACTCAGTCTGCTGTTATGATGACAATGAGAATCTCCTCAATATCTAGGGACTAGAATTTAGGGGTTGGTTCTTTTGACTTGGGTCACAAAGCAACCACCCAGAACACCTTAGAAATGTGCTTAAAAACACATTAACAAATGCTTAGCCACATACTGTTGTCATGATAGCATTCACATTTTCCTTGATTGTAAAAAGCTTAAGGTCCAGTCACATTAACAACATTTCTGCTAAATTTGGTGGTTAAAAAAAGCTCTATTGTCTGTTGCCAATACTATAGTGTATTGTGAGTCACACAGCAGTTACACAGAAGTCACTTTCAGACCAAGCAGCTGTCGGTTGGTCAGTGTGGTGAATCTACTTGGGGAAATGTTTCACCCTTGCGTGAAATTCCCTATCACCTGGATTCCTATGACTGGATTTTACCCATGAAAATTCACCAAACAGTAAATGTGACCGCTTCTTAATGCACAAACTACCTCAGGAAATCAAATGAGCATTTGAAAGTTTTGGTAGCTGAATTTCTAAGTCGTTTGTCTTCCATCAGATGAATGTGGCATTGTGGCTCAGATATCTGAACCGCTGGCGACCGCTGACATTCCAGCCTACTATATCAGTACCTTCAAGTTCGATCATGCTCTGGTGAGTTTGAGCACCCACTACTTTCCCATCACTAAATATTCAGCTAGCAAAGGTGAAGTTTAACACCAGCAACATCTTGTGTCCATCCAGGTGCCTGAGGAGAACATCCAGAGTGTGATCGGAGCCTTGAGGACCAATGAGAGCACAGGACAGTGAGACTCTACGATTGGCTAGGTGTCCCGTGTCCCAGAAAACATTTCGATTTCTTGTCTAAAAGTCTTAAAAGTGCCAAGAGCTTACCTGAGGACTGCTTCTGGGAGGAGGATCGGACGGAAGGGGAATGGATAAGTGGGGGGGGGGGGGGCA